ATATCGGTATGAATTGTCATATCCTTTGTGTTTTGAGTGGATTGGAGGAGACTGGTTGCAGCATGTAGTTTTATACAATGTATCCTTTTCATCCTTTTTTTTTTCTTTTCCAGTTTTTTGTTTTGTACGTCATTTCTGCCTCTCCTTTTCAAACAATTTTTATTGCGACATTCTTCATCTATCATAAAATCCCTATCATAAAATTAATTCAGGAACATCTGTAAGCCGAAACATTGTTATGTAAAAACAATACACGTTGTTCTCATCAGCTTTGCAGTAGTCTTTGGACTTCTCGTTTTTGGTTCTTAATATTTTCGCTGATTAGATCTCTTTTCTAGAGATCCAACGTTTATAACCAGCAGGATCTTCGTCCACGGTTTTTGCAGTTATTTTAATTCCTTTATACGATGTAAATTATGAAGGAATTAGTGCTAAATGCCCCCAATAGAGATAGGTACTAGGGGTGGTAGTTACCTGCGATCAGGCGATCATAGACAACGAGCAGTCTCTCTTTTTTCTTGGTCCGTCGAGCAAAACGCCCGAGACACGCAAATGACCACGCGCGTGACTGAAGGCGCGAGAAGGGAGAGGCACGACTTCTTCTCGGGCTGCCTCCCTCGTTACTCGCGTCTCGCAGCTTCGCCCCTCAACGCTCGCGCGCTCGTGTACCTCCCTTATAAAATTTGAAGAAAAAGAGAGACAGCTCGCAGTCTAAGGCGACCAGAAAAAGGGAAGAAGGAGCGCCTGATGGCAGGTTAGGGTGGTCACTGTCAGAGGTTTGTCCCATCCCTGGTAGTTTTTTTAAGCCCCACTGAGTAAAATTATGTGAAAGTGCTGTGAGACGGGACCTTTCACCCCTTATCTGGAGGGTCTCAGTGAGGTTTGTCATCAACCGTCAGATGGCCTATTCAGTAACCATCAACCGTCAAAAAAGGTTATTTTTTTACCGTCAACCGTCACTAATGCGTATAAAGATTAACGGTAAAAAAAGTTTCAAGGTATTTCAAATTTCTCTGTTAGTGCAGCTGATCTTCACGGGATTCTAGCTCCTGAAGAATCTATAAACTGGAAAAACTAGTTCCCATGTTCTCAACATTACAATTTCAAAACCTTGTTATACGCCTGCCACGCAGGCTACCCTATTTTATGACCCTAATTCATTCTTTATTTTTGTATACAGAATCGAAATATTTTTCCAAAAAAACATTATGGAATTAGATGTTTTTGAATAAAAATTGTTTGTTGCACATATGGAGATTTAAAACTCATCGCAAGGCGTCGCATTCATTCTTTGGAAAGGTTCCCGGTCCAAAAAGACACTCGACTCTTCGAGAACGCTAATTTATAAATTAATAGTAAAATTGTATGCCCTGTTTAAGACTCAAGATTGTGAAAGAAAACCACTCCCTGTTCACCGGTACAAACCCACTTTTAGGGCCAAATAAGTTCAGCCAGTGCCCCGCGTCTGGAATCTGCATGTAAACGACGATATAACGAGTCCGACGCGGTAATAAGAAGTTTCCATATTCTTGACGAATCCGGAAACATCGACTCTAGTGTAAATTTAGCCAACCTCGGGGGGAGAGAAGCGACGACCGGAAATACGCCTGCGGTTCGCAGGCTAGTGAGAATTTAGCCTTTAGAGTAACGTTTCACGTGTCATTGTTATTAACAAAATGAACAGTTGCAATTGATGTCAATTTAATGCAATATATAGGAGGATAAAGAAGTGTTCTACAAACTTTACGCGAGCAGAAAAATATTCTATTTTGTCTTTATGACGTCGGATTTTTTATCGTTCCACGTCGCTAAACAAGTTTAGTCGTGTTGCGCTTTGGAAAGAGAAAAGTTATTCTTGAGAAAATGAAAACGTTTTTAATCTACATAATTTTCCTCCTATAACAATGTGAGGAACTTCGACTGCCTCGGGAAATTTCATCGACGAAGGTAAAACTTGTGTTATTTTCACATCCGCTCTCTTCGCGTTATTTTCCTCGATGGCGTAAGCTTGTAGCAAAACTACAGGGCACTCGCAAAAATCTTTATTTTCCCAGGCTAACTTTGCTTTTGCCTTTAAGTTACCAAACTACTGCGTCAACTTTTCATTCAAAAGTAGGTTAGAGATTCTTTAATTTGTTTAGGATTGAATTTATCTGATTGTCTTGAAATTTTCTCTTCTTGGCCTCAATCAGTGGAAACTGAAATGTTATTTGCTTAGACGATTTTGTTTCTTGGTTGCTTGTTCCTAAAGATCGAAAGCGATTCTGGCACGCGCAATCGAAGTTACTTACAACGTCAAGTTCCGTTATTTGTTTCCACAAAGTTTAAAAACACTTTTCAAAGATTTTTTTATAGCTTTGTTGTAATCTAGTTGTAGCCGTGGGATTTTAAGTATTTTAAGTATTAGCACACATTTTCACACGGTTTATACTGATCAACAACAACAACAACAACAACAACAATGTAATTCAGTATTTAAAGAAATATAAAGTTATAATACTTTATGTTTGCAAATAGCGATAATGCTAATCTAGGCAGGACAAGACTTTAAATAAAGACGTTAATTAAATTACATAAAAAAAGAAAAGAAAACATTGGGGCGAGTTTCAAAGCGGCATGCACGTGGAAAGTGAAAGAAAGCATCGAAAAATTCGATTTTCAAAATGGAATTTACATCGAGATAAGGTAATTAGGACATTATTTCATGAAAGTGGTTCAGCACAACATCCTCTATCGAATAGCCTGCGTAGCTGGCAGTATTGTACATGTGTACTAGTCGAGTGAGCCGCTGTATCAGTCGAGTGAGATTTGGCAAAGCCGCGAGAAAAACGCCTCGTCCCCACTCCTTTTGTTGGATCGCGGCTCCGCCGCCAAAACTTTAATCACACAATACCGGCAGCTGCGCAGGCTTCTATCGATGGCCTCGGTGAGAAAGTAGCTGAGGTTTAACTCAGCAACACACTTACCGCTTACATAAGGCACATAACTAACACTTTGAGACTCATCTCAGCCAGAAAAAAACTGCGATGGAAAAATTCCAATAACTTTTCTCTTCGATCGACGTCAATTTAATCATGTTTCTGCAGAAGCTCTTTTTCATGGAGGCCATCTTGTTTACGCAATGAGGGATGCCCAGCGGCAAAACTAGAGAATCACCTCAAGTTTATTCCGTAACGAAAATGTGAAATCAATTAGGTAATGAAGCTATGTGCAAAGATACAAGTTGTAATACATATAATGATCAAACCAACTGAAGGCACACTAATTTTATTCAGTCGTTGTATTTTTAGTTTTCCTTTGTTCACCGTTGCCATGGCATCGCATAATTGAGGTGCAATAGCGTGTTATAAACAAGATGTACGTGGTAAACAGGTTGGTTGACTGAGTGAAATGATACTATGTCTTGATAAACTAGGACAAATAATTTAAATGAATTGAATTTATTAACTTTTTATGAATTTTAATAAATTGCGGTTTCTATGGAAACCGACGTAATTCCGGCTTGGCACTATATCTGAAATTGCTTGTATTGGTGACTACTATCAGTGTGCCAAATTTCATGCTTGTATCTAAAAGTGCACAATTCACTTCAAATTTCTAGCTAAGCCACCGAACTATCAACACGTCAGCAAAAAACTTCGTTGACAACAGAATGCCATAAGTATATAAGCCTGAACTTTAAGCTCCCCGGTCAATTGTTTTGTGCGGAGATGGGTCGTACTGGAGGCAAGAGTTTTTTTTTGCCAATCACATGCTTAAGTCACTGCGTGCATGTTCTACTGACGAAAGTACAGTTACCATAAAGTTACCATAAAAAATGCTCCAATTGATCAATCATAGATAATTGAAATTTCTATCGCTACTTTCTCCTTTTCTTTGTAGGCCATCCTTCTTATTCTTCCTTAGGACTGGTGATTTCTCATAACAAATTACAGAAAAAACAAGCAAGAAAGGTTACCTGACAAAGAGTAAATTTTGCCGGAACGCGCATCGCTTTGATCTGTAGTCTGAGTATCACTTGTTAATGTAAACACTACGGTCCTTGTTCCTACTGAAGAAAGCGTCGCTGGCGGGATCACATTGCCCGATCGTGAGTTCGCAACTAAGGAATTCCCCCATTCTTCTTGCCGCTTTATAGCCAAATTCATTTCACGGGTGCTTTTCTGGTCCTTGTTAGCAGTCGTGCGCAACAAACTTCGTCAGCTAAGCAGACTACTAGTACAAGTAAAATCAAAGTGAATCAATCAAGTGAAGCCCAGTTTTTTCAGGTGATATCAGGGGGATTTTTCATTGAGAAGCACTTGACTCAGGAGACTTTGCCTTGTCAAATTCCCCCACCCCTGGGGGAAATTGTTACCTTTGCACCGCCCATTTTAGAATCCCGCTAGTTGGCCAGGAGTCCTACCCCATGCCCCTCAGGGGGAAGCCGATGACATGCGCATTACATGCAGTTATATAATCATCATGCATGTATGAGTTACAGAAAACAATTACCAGTTGCATTACCTGGTCACGGCTGTGCCACTCGAAAATCGCACGATTCCGAAAAAATCTTAAATCTTCAAAGGACAATTATTCGGCGACCTATTTACTAAAATATAAAAGCAAGTCTTTCGCAAAAAGGACAAATAGCCAACAATTTTACGCTAAAATATTAACTGCAAATACTGATACCTAACTAAGTTATTAAATTGTATTCTTCTTACAACTACCCAGTTAGTACTTTGTTTCAGTATTGCACGTTGTCAACTGCAATTACGTTTTTGTCTGGATGTAAATTGTATTCTCCACTATTCATACCTCACTGTTACGTAATCACGTATTCTTTCATACAAATTCGCGACTAAAAAAATGACAAATTAGTAGTGATAATAGGACTGAGTTGAGTACAATTCAGAGAGTAATCAGGCCAATAATTCAAAATTACGAGCCCGTATAACAGAAGGAAGTTCCTACAAACTGCGAATTTTCAATCATATTGCATACCGTTCATTTTACAATTAAGAAATAGGATCGAATTCCTTCAGTTTATCGATTATCTCCTGCATGGTTGGACTCGCCCCAAGCTCTCTTTGCATGCATTGCCGCACCAGGCCACGAAACACACCGTTCGTTACAAGCACCACTTGTTCGTTACGCCTTCGAGGATCTGGAAGTTGTCGGAAGCACATTTCGCAAAGAAAAGCACCAAAGCTGTAGACATCAACCTAACAACAATAAAACGTAATTTGACGAAGTCAATATTGTTAAAAAAAGAAATGCACTGTATTTGAGTGTCAAGGTATTTAGCACGAAAGTACTTTCGGGACCCTATTCTCAGTTATTTTAAGACCCGGAGTATTGGTCCCATCCCGGGAATTAAACCCACGACCTTCCGCTCTGCAGTCAAGCGCACTACCGACTGAGCCACAGGGTCCAGAGGAGATGTGTTTGTCGTTAGAACATCAAAACCCGTCGAAAACCTCTGAAAAAATGGGTTATTTTGATCGCGTTACGGTTTCGTTACGCATTCTATAGACCGCAAACCAAGAGACTGAGGGCTCGCATGATCGGCTTACAGTATAAAATACGGAAAGGGAGGAAAATAAATTTGGGGCCGATTTTCGAATCCCTGAAACTCAAATGGAATTGAATGAAATCACCTGATTTTACTAACCTGATCTAGAGTTCTCATGTATTTGCGAACTACTGCAGGAAAACGGCATAAGAAAGCGTTCAAATTCGTTTTCGGCGACCGAAATTTACGGCTTCTAGAGAGCGCTTTCGTTCGGTGTGCACCGCAACAGATGGTGACAGAAATGACGTAGCAAAGTAAATGTGTTCAAGATCGGAGCAATAAAAGGGAAGCCTACACGACTTTTGCCTCATGCCAAAATGCTGCTGCTTCCAATAAAGGTTTTTTCCTCTGCTGGGTAGATTATGCTATGGAAGGTTCTACAGCAAATGTGATTTTAGCGGGGATTTTAGCCACATGTTTCACACTGAGAGGTCATGACACATATCGATTTACTGTGGTTATTGTTTCTGGTCGGCAGGATTTGCCCCATGATGCAAGCGCATTTTCTTTGACCTCTTTTAAAGCGTAAAGCTTTTTATTACGGCTGAACAAGGGTTCCAGTTTTCTCCAAAGTGCCTTCTGGATCTAAATAACTAAGCGATTTTCTTTAGTCCGTGAATGTAATGTTTGTCTTCAATGCTGTATCACGCTGGGCCCAGCTTGTTAGTTTTGTTTGGAGAATGTTAAATTATTACGGATAGTGATTTACGGGTCGTGTGTACTCTTGCAATAAAAAGTGACACTGAGTAGATCGGGCGTACGAGGCAACTGTAATATCATCACGACTGTGCCATTCTTCGGTGGTCCAGCTATATTACCTCTTGCGTCTTTGGCTGTGCGTTTTGCGACTACTGGGAAGCCTTCGCGACCTTCGTACAAGCAAAACCTGCTTAAGACATCGAAGACTGTTGAAACGTACAACAAATGTCCAGTCTTGAAAGATCTTCAATTCAATTAAAACTCTGTTGTTTTCGAATAGATCTCTGAGATCTTTAAGAGCGACTTTCTGTAAATACCACGGATAGGTGTGCAAGATGGAAAAATCGAAATCCCCCAAACTTTGTCTCAACAAAGCCCTTTGGAAACTATTTTAGAAAATACAAGACTCAGTTCGTTTGACTTAATATTTTCCAAAATAATAATTTTTTTTAATTTTCACCTTCGAGAGGCCTTCAAACCAACGAAAAATGTGCTTGATACCCTCGCTTCGTAAATGGAAACGGAAACTAATACCATGACTTCTCTTATATTAGACAATCTTATGATCCTTCCTTTCTACCTAAACGTTGTTACAATTTCAAAAGATTTCAATCTGATTTTTTAATATTTTTTCAAAATTACCCTCTAAATCAGCATTATCGCCACCATCAATTTTGCCATTTTTCAACGGCGAAAATCCCTTCCTGGTACATGGCTTTCATTCGAAAAATGGTATTCCAGAGAAAGAGCAATATTTCCCCTATCAATCTGTGAAATAAAATTCTGGGGCAATTGAAACTGCGAGTTTTTACAACTGAAAACATTTACAGTACTAGCGTGATTTACGACCTCTGAACTTGTAGGTGTATTGATGAACACAAGGGAGAACTTCGACAGCACTTGCAACTCTGGCGCAAATTCGCCCCTTTTCCGCCAGTTTAAACACCAAAAACGATTTTAGATTTCACAGTGGTAAATTTTCAAAAGGAAAAGCAATTTTATTGTACGAAAGTGTGCTATGAACTTCTTGACTACAACACTTCCCCTACGCGCGTATTTGTTTACTTTTGCCGTATTTGTAACAGTTATCACATATGTACAAACCGCTTTAGTGTCGGTAGCTATTCGTTAAAATGTTCTCATTTCTCATGAACCAAACCGTTATAGCTATAAAAAAGGAAAACGTTTTGACCTACCTCGCATTATTTGACAACGACCCGAATCCTTTACTGCCTTCAGCGAAACGAGATTGCGTGACAAAGAACTTTCAGACCCAGGTTATACCGCAAAGACAGATACCATTCCGAAAAAGACGCTCACGCGGCGCCTTCTGTAACTATAAAAGCAAAACATGTAAATAATCAAAATCCTCAGTTTCACTGACTTATCCGCTAGAGCGATTATGAAAACGTAAGACTAAAAAAAATATTTTCCACAAGAGACTATGAAGTGGTGGGCCCTTATAGTCCCTTACTTTCCATAAACGCCTGCTTACACATTTTGAAATACGCATATGAATTCCTTACTTGTATCCTTAGAAAAATGACATTGAGGGGAAAAAAGCGCTGATTCGTAGTCTGAAATGTCATTCGTCCCTCCCCTAAGAGGCGGCAGCCCGTTTCGGGGTGGGGCGAAGAAACGCAGACTGGACAGGTCGGGGCTAGAAAACCTGCGTAATTTTAGAGCACCTCTGGTGCTAAAAGCAAAGCTTTCTGTACTTCTGGCAACCTCGAGCAAGTTTTGCATTTCTGAGCAACGTTTGGGAAAAATATAGGCTTATGTCAAGCCAGAAAAAAAAAAAGTCAAGTACGACTGAACCGCGCCCGTATAAGCGCCCCTAATGACTCTGGCAGGGGGGAGGGGGGATTTTGAAATGGAGAAAAGGAGGCCTTGCTCTAAGCATACCGTCTGCGCTTTAGCTGTGAGTCTGCCTTGGAGATGAATTTCGCTTATATTTCTGAGCAAATCTTTAAAGAAGATTGCAAGCCGTATTGTTGCGTCCGTCTGAAACGCTGGAGCGGTTAAACCAGTGATCTCGCCCCTCGCACCTTGAAAAAAAACCGCTTTTTTTGAGAGAAAAAAAAGGAAGAAAGGAAACTAAAAGATAAAAAAAGAAGGAAAGGCCGTTCGCACTAACTGAAAGCTATTATTTTTTGCATTACTATTGAAAATCTGAAAAGGAACAGTCTTACAGACGTAGCCCTCGGGGCGGTACCAGGTGAATATATCACATACCCCATCGTTCCAGGTATATAACCTTTACGTAAGCGTAGGATGTAAGACACACTTGCGGATACGCGTAAGCATAACGTGAGATACCCAGGCGTAAAAGAAATAACAGTGGCGCTGCTAATGTTGGCTCCCCTCAAAAATGAAGCGTATTAACGTGGGGTTGAAAAGTGAGATATTCGGATATCTTCGGATAATTGATAGCGAGTTATTTCCAGTCCACGGACTCTCTCCTAAATTTTTCGAAAGTATTTGTTCTCTTAAAAAATCCAGAATTTCGAGATTTCTTGATGGTTTTATACATACGCTAATTATGAGATTCCTTTTCTTTTTTCCTAACGATAAGGTAAATCGGTCAAGAAAAAACAGCTTTCAGTAAGTTAAAATAAGTTTTTTGAAGGCGCGATCTTTGGTTTCATCGCTGAGCGTTCCTGACGGGCCCAAATATAAGGGCTTGCAATCTCCTTTAAAGAGTTGCTCGAAACTGTGGGCCAAATTTATTGCCAAGGGAAACGTACAACTGAAAAGCAGGCGGTATGCTTAGAGCTAGGCCCCCTTTACTCAATTTCAGAGTTTCCCCTTCCCACCCAGCCTCCCCCTCCCGCCGGAGTCATCAGGGGCGCTTATACGGGCGCGGTTCAGTCGTACTTGACATTTTCTATCAAACTGGTCACTTTTTCTGGCTTTACATGTGCCATAACCTACATTTTGGCAAAAGGTTGCTCAGAAATGCAAAACTTGTTCGAGTTTGCCAGAACTACAGAAAATTTAAACACAAGAGGTGCTCTAAAGTTATACAGGTTTTCTAGACCCGCCATGTCTAGTCTGAAATGTTATGCGTGTCTTCGCCCCACCCCGAAACCTGCTGCGGCCCCTTAGGGATGGAGGGAAGGACGGATGACATTTCAGACTACGACTTAGCGCTTTTCCCCCCTCAATGTCATTTTTCTAAGAATACAAGTAGCGAATTCATAATCATATTTCAAAACAAGCGTGATGAAAACAAGAGGCTACAGTGGAACCTCGATTTAACGAAGGGCCAAGGGACTAACAAAATTTCTGAGCCACCCAACGGCGGTTTCCTTCTAAATTCATTGAAAACACTTTTCAGTGGCGTACCAAGAGCACTTTTAGATCTCTAGAAATGCATTCTAAGCGGCTTGTAAAATTTGTTCCCGTTCGGTCATCCTAGGGGAACTTGCATTGAGTATTTTCGAAATTACAAGGGCTTCAGTATTATTTTCCCAAACATTTTAGATGAAATTTAACGTATCACGAAAGTGAGAATTTTTCTGATTCCTCTCTCAATCACATGTTTGAATCCGAACATTTTAGGTTTCCTCTTTTCTACGAAAAATTAGCCTAACCTGGGATGTAAAATGGGAAAAATTAAACTTCAGAAAAGCGTAGGGAATTTATAAGATAACCCTCGAAAATTGAACAGGAACGGAATGGTCATCTAGAAATTTTTAGGCGTCCTCAAGCTATAGAAAATTCTAGGCAAATCTACTTCTCCGAACATATATTTTACAGAAAACAGTCGTTGAGTGCCCCTGAAATTTGCCCGCTATAACGAGGTTTCGTTATATCGAGGTTTTTTTTCATACCGTAAATCCTCTATTAAGCCCCCGGGGGCTTATTTATTTCAAGCCCATTTGAGGGGGAGGGGCTTAATGGAGACGGAGGGCTTAATATATTTAATTTAGAAACTACGATGGTATCGCTTCTCCATAAAGAACTAGAATACAAAGTGGAAAAGCTCAAGTACAGGAAGTTTTAGGTCATGCAGCCGAGGATCATAATCAAATCCGAACTTCCAGCTGGTAAATAAACCATCCCGGATCAGTCCACACGAAGTTTTACGGTCGTGATTGATTAATACAGTCTTCCATCTTTCATTTATTAGTGAAGAATAATTAGAGGTGGGAAGTGGGTGCTTGATAGAGGGGGGGGGAGGGGCTTATTAACTTTCTTCCCCTGAAAAGGGGGGCTTATTAGAGGGAGGGGCTCATTTGACAAGGGGCTTTGATATAGGTTTACGGTATATTTTACTATTATTGCGGAGGTAAAGAAAATCATTCGTAAGTTCTTTTGTCGCGGTTCCACTGTATAAGGGCCTACCCTATATAGTCTCTTGACGAAAAAATATTTTTTAATGTTACGTTTTTAATGTTAAGTCAACGAAACTAAGGACTTTGATTATTTACTTGTTTCGCTTTTATAGCTACAGAAGGTGCCGCGTGAGGTTCTTTTTCGGAATGGCATCTGTCCCCGCGGTATAACCTGGGTCTCAAAGTTGTTTGTCACGCAATCTCGTCTCGCTAAAGGCAGTAAAGGAAGGATTCGGGTCTGTTGTCAAATAATGTGAGGTAGGTTAAAATGTTTTCCTTTTTTATAGCTATAACGATTTGGTTCATGAGAAATGAGAGCATTTGAAAGAATAGCTACCGACACTATTAGCCGTTTTGTACATATATGTACCGAACGGCAAAAGTAAACAAATACGCACGTAAGGGAAATGTTGTAGTCAAGAAGTTCATAGCACACTTTCGCAGAATAAAATTGCTTTTCCTTTTGAAAATTTACCACTGTGAAATCGAAAATCGTTTTTCGTGTTTAAACTGGCGGAAAAGGGTCGAATTTGCGCCAGAGTTTCAAGTGCTGTCTAAGTTCTCGCTTGTATTCATCAACACAACTGCAAGTTCAGAGGTCGTAAATCACGCGAGTACCGTAAATGTTTTCAGTTGTAAAAACTCGCAGTTTCAATTGCCCCAGAATTTTATTTCACAGATTGATAGGGGAAGCATTGCTCTTTCTCTGGAATACCATTTTTCGAATGAAAGCCATGTACCAAGAAGGGATTTTCGCTGTTGAAAAATGGCAAAATTGATGGTGGCGATAATGCTGATTTAGAGGGTAATTTTGAAAAAATATTAAAAAATCAGATTGAAATCTTTTGAAATTGTAACAACGTTTAGGTAGAAAGGAAGGATCATAAAATTGTTAAATATAAGAAAAGTTATGGTATTAGTGTCCGTTTCCATTCACGAAGCGAGGGTATCAAGCACATTTTTCGGTGGTTTCAAGGCCTCTCGAAGGTGAAAATTAAAAAAAATATTATTTTGGAAAATATTAAGTCAAACGAACTGAGTCTTGTATTTTCTAAAATAGTTTCCAAAGGGCTTTGTTGTGATAAAGTTTGGGGGATTTCGATTTTTCCATCTTGCACACCTATCCGTGGTATTTACAGAAAGTCGCTCTTAAAACTCTCTCCGCAGCTGATGTTTTGATTCTCGACTTAGCAGCGGTCTGTTGCTTTTGCGTTTCCGGTCTCATTCCGACTTCCGTCACCGAGTGCTGCGGCTCACATAGAACGAAGTCACGTGGTACAAGTTTCCTCCCTTGTCCTTTCTTTTACTCGGCACTTCGTGCCTTGGTCGCCCTCCGGGCGACGGCCTTCGGTCACCCTTCGGGCGACGTGCCGTGCGCCAGCGAGGATATGGCTTGCGGTTATTGATTTTCAAAAGTCGATCTGGGTCAGATAAGAAGCGAAGAAATCGTTTACAGTAGATTCATAAAGATCCCATTGGGCTAATTAATCGTGCTAAAATAAGCGACAGGTATAGACATTTTTCAAGGTAAGTAATTCATTTATTCACACGAAACTCCTCTGGACCCTGTGTGTATAATGGGTACCATAATATAAAACAAGCGGCCATTTTGTTTATTGGAAGTGCACCTCGTCCCCAGGCTCTTATCCTACTGAAAATCGCAGGTGCCGCAAGGACTTACGGGCTGGACTTGTGCTCTATTTACCGTTTGGTGGAAAGGCATTAAAAAAAATCCTCGGAGACCCAGGGGCAGATAGTGGGGGCGAGGGAAAGTCTAAACGGGCGGAAAAATATGGCAAGAAGAAAAGTAAAGAACGGCGAGAAGAGCCCCAGGGGACAATATCTTACCACACCAGTTCTAAACGGTCTCCGCCTTTCTGGCTTCTGATTGGGCAGAAAAACACAAACGTTTTCGGGCACCAATCAGAAGCCAGAACGGCGGCGACCGTTTAGAACTGGTGTGGTAAGACATTGTCCCCAGGGGCTCTTCTCGCCGTTCTTTACTTTTCTTCGTGCCATATTTTTCCGCCCGTTTAGACTTTCCCTCGCCCCCACTATCTGCCCCTGGGTCTCCGAGGATGGTGGAAAGGAAACTCAAAATAGATCAACAAAATGAACATCCAAGGTGACGTTATTCATTTCCTCAAAAATGCTCCGTGTTTGCAAACGATGCTCTGTGCTCGAGTAAAATTATGCCGACAAATACGGGCAACAACTCTTCCGAGTTCAAACATTTGGAGCTTTTTTAGTATTAAACGTTTAAAGCAGAGGTGGTAGAAACGTGTTCAAAGAAATCTTACTACAGAGAAATTCTCCGTGTGACTGAACACGGAGGCAACACTTGAAAAAAGCTTCAGCCCACCTAAAAATCGGTGACAGGGAATTTTCCCAGCTACGGCTTTCTCTTTTCATTTTTTAAAAGCGTAATGTCGCCACCGCCCGTTTCAACCTGTCGGACCAGGTCCACGTTTTGAAGATATTCTCTTTTGTAGTTCGATCGTTTCCCCTAACCCAGGCGAAATAATGGCTAATGGTAGGTTAAGTCCTCCGTCTGATGCTTGCTGTGATAGGAACGGACAATTAGAACAAATGATGGAGAAGGATGAAAACAAAAACAACATTTTATACAGGCCAAAACCTTAGAAAAAATTCATGCACACCGGAATGAAAACATAAATCTCAAGAAAAACGTTTCTCTTTTATTTGAAAATTAAAAGTAAAACGCATCCATTAGCAAGATAAAGAAATCAGTTCAAGAAAGCGATGTGTCCAACTCACCCAACTAGGAAAGAGGGGACTTACAGTGGACTGCAATGTGAAAAGGGGGAGTTGCTTGTTGAACATCTAGGCCAGTCTTGGCATGGATTAATTTGACCCCCTAAAACACACCATTCTCAAACATTCTCTTTATTCCCAGCCTCGAAGCACAAAATATTGGCGGCCTTCAGTCCTGAACACCTTGAGTGACGCCACAAACTACAAGTTTACTCCGCTGCAAGACGATGACCATCCCCTCCCCTCTAAGTGGTTATTTCGAATCCTTTTCCCTTTGTCTTTAAAACGAGCTTCTTCCTTATGCATGCTAAGAAGTTGTTTTATTAAAAGGCGGGGAATAAAATGTATAAAAAATTTCAATAATTTAAGTTTTTGTTAGTTTCCCTGAAAGCAGAAATACGTATTATCAAGTGAGAATAACGGGACAGAGAGGGTAAGGCCCTGCAGTCAGTTCCACCGGCCCGACTTTGGAAAAATATGAGAATCATTCAAACAAACGTTATTTTAGGCAAATTAAACGCTGTTGGTAGAATACATCAGTTGTCTACATAGAAAATGTTAAATTCCCTTACAGCTCTACCAGTGTTCTTTTTGACAGTTTATTTATAATGGAAAGAAACAACATCATTGAGCAACGAGGGGCGTTTCCCTGACCCCAAACAATACTAAAACAATAGGATGATTGACAGGTCATTGTTTCCTGCGACTAATAAGGAGAGACCTTACGAGCAGCTCCTACACAACTGAACAACGAAGGCAAGACTTTAGCCATAGAAAAAATTGTAATCAAAACTGTCCTTAACACTATCACTTTAATTATTTAGTTCTCAGGATGCTGGAAATTACAATTCTGAGAACTTGGTTTTCAATTTTTGGGAACGAAAGCATGTTCCGAGAACCCCTGAATTACAGGAGGCGTTACATCCCCCCTCACTACTGCCTTCGTCAAATAGCCAGGCTAATATTCATTGGATTATATATTAACAAATTATTAACATTGCTGAGGCCTATCATGTAAAATCACAAGTATTTGCACACAAAAAGCGGTCTTTACAATCATGTAACATGCCATCATTAAAAATTTGAGGAAGAAATGCAGCAAATGAAGTGAACAAATAATTTCAATAACCTTGTCCAAAAAGCAATATTAAAAAAAGAAAAGAGAAAACTGGGAGTAAATTGAACAAACAAGATTAAAATTTACCTTTGTCTGTTTAAACTGCACTGTGCACTGTAGTTGGATTGAAGCTTCTATGCTCCTCGCTCTAGGTCCACCTCAAACCAAGAGAGGATGAAGGGGATAGAGAAGGCATCCCCCATACACACCCTATGCCATAGGTAATTCGCCTCGAGTTATTTTTAAGACCATAGATCCCAAGGGCGATTAGACAACAGCCAATCACATAACGCGAATGTGTTCCGCGTGGATGACCCATGCTAAGAGCCACGCGTCTTTCATGAATTGATGCAGAAAAAAATGGCGGAAGACGCAAAGAGCGATATTGCTGTTTTTTTTTGTCGACGAAAACGACTAAAGAGAGATTTCTGCTAAAGCTGTGTCAGCGAAACGGAGATCAAAAAAGAATCGCCCTTCCTCTTTTGTATAGAGCTAACAGTACAGTAGGAAAATCCTTAACACACTGAATATTCTCTCAGGATCATTTATAATTTACAGTTTGAAGAGAGCAATTTCTGGTTTGATATTTATTTTTTATTAGTCTTTTATTATTCAACAAAAATAACACTTGGCGTCCTACTTGCTTTATTGTAAAAACGACCGGTTTCAATAGACCGGCGAAATTTCTCATTTTATTAAAGCACTGAGGTTACGACAACTTCGATTTAAACTGATTTCACGGGTTTCACGGCGATTCCCTTTTCCCGGCCCAGGTGAGCGCCGACTCATTTCGCTTCAATATTCAGAAATGCTCTCGATCTCTTTACGCTTTCATTGCCTTTCGCCCGACATGTTTTGCACGGCGTTTAGTCATGCGAAACCTCCACGAAACATCCACGCAGCGCGCGAGGTAACTTTATCCCGATTCTAAAAATAACTCGAGACGAATTACCTATGGAATAGGGTGTGTATGGGGGGTACCTTCTCTGTTCCCTTTATCCTCTCTTGCCTCAAACTGAATGCCCTGATTTAACTCCAAGCGCTGAGATATAAGAGAGTCAGCTTACTCACACCCTTCAATTTCCAAGAAATGCATTACGGCAAACAATGCGTGTTCGATGTGTTTAGCAGCTGTGCGGAGCTGTATATGATTTCGTTCCTGTCAGAATTACTGGCCTCTCGTGACCGCAAGCATTGCGGTCACGAGACAAGACACTCCTCGTTGTAACAGTCTCAACAAGAGAGAAATCGCCTCTACCTCTGCCTCAAAAGCCGCCATAGGCGTATATATTTATTGAATGCGGACGTGCAATAAGCGAGATATCCACTCATTTTTATTAAAATACTGTCTTTTTTTGGGATAAGACAGTTCTTCATGTTTACGGTTGGCAAACGTACCAGAATGTTTGTACTGTAGATGAAGAGTAACGTGTTTTTCATTCAATCTAAAAAACGGGTCAATTCATAAAAATAGAAAGTGACTAAGTTGGGATAGCAAAAATTACATATTTGCCCAAAAGTGACTAAGATGGGGTCTATGCTTGGCCACAGAATAGACTATAATGGGGTAGGGGCTCTAAGAGGCCAGCGGCACATGCATACCCAACAAAAATTAACCCAAGTACCCCCGGGTTTATAAGTCGACTTACCCGTTTACTAGGAAACTCTAATAGTAATATCATATATAAGTGACCCATCTACTCGTTTCTTTAATTATTAAATATTGTCTATTATAAGTGGATCACTTACTTTATAAGTAAGTAATATCTGAATTGATGTGTAATCGATTTTGCAAATAGCCTATTGCATAGGAGCATACCAAACTCTAAGTGATGACAAGTGCTTACTACAGGTTAAAACATATATCCTAAAACGTTTCATAAGTTATACTGAATACTTGTGTTTCACTCAATATTGTGTACTCAACAATGTCTATTTCATTTGTATGAGCTACTCATAAACACAATGAGGTAATATAGAGTGATTTTACTTGACCCGTAAAACAGAGAATAATAACTAGTGCAAAATAGCTACTAATACACAAAAGCACACAATGGAATTAGTGCATAATATCGCATACTATTCTCCTACCTATTTCACGGGTCAAGTAAAATCACTCTATGATTTAAGGATTATTCTATTCTGCAAATAAGTCACCGACTGGATAGAAATCTTTAATTAAAGAAGTCTAATGGATCTACTAATTCAATGGTATATCCTAAATAATTGACCTTTCATAAGCGACATATCTACTGCTACCTTCGAGTCAATTTAGTCGGCTATTGAACTGTAACCTACATCGATTCATAAGTATGCAACATAGGAATTAAAGAATTGACCTCCCCCTTTATGAGTAAGTTACCAATTGCCAGTATCGGAAACTCTACACTCAAATTCCATTTCATTTGTATGACCTAGTCATAAGCAGGTAATATATGATTTAAGGCATACACCGTAATATTTTCTACAGCAAGTTACCTATTGGATAGAAAACGTTAATTAAAAAAGCCTAATGGACGTATTTAGCTACTACGCAGATTCAATGATATATCCTAAATTGGCTTTTCACAAGCGACACATCTACTGCCATCTTCAGTCAGCTTAGTCGCGGCTATTTTATTTTTTTATATTGATCTATAACCTACTTCATAAAATATGCAACAAAGGAATCAGGGAACAAATTCCCCTTTACGAGTAAGTTACCTCAGTACTGCCAGAATAAGAAACTCTACATACAAATGACAGCCGTTTAATATTGCTAATTACTATGAGACGTACTTAATCTCATGTCCTAAAACTTGTCATAAGCGAACATATTTACTGGTATCTTCAGTCAATTTAGTCGATTTCACGTCTACAACCTACATCATACTGAGTACCATTGGAATTGAAGTAAAATCTGCTTTATGAGCAAGTTAGCTAATGCTGGTGTAGAAAACCCAATAAGAAATGTCATAACTGCTAACTACTACGCGTATTTAATTGTACATTCTAGAACTTGTAATAAGCGCCATATCTATAGCCTGCGCCACAGACAGCGGAATTAAATCCTCTGGTTAAGTTCGTCTGCAAAACAGCGCTGAAATCCTTGTTCAGGGCCCCACCTGTGTACCATGATTTGAGTACGCGCTATGATTGGCCAGTAACCTACTGATAAAAGCCATTGCTATTTTGTCAATCAGGTGGAAGAGAAAATCGAAACGCATTTCCGGTAATTCGTTCAGTCCGCTGGGGGCCCAGAACAAGGATCTCGGCTTTGCTTCACAGACGTTACTAAGCTTTACTAACCGGATTAAGATCACGTCTGCGACGCAGGCCACTCCTATCTTCAATTTATATTGCGGTCTACTTAGGCTGTTTGACCTTCATACGTTTCGGCATGAGAAACATGGCAATATCTGAATAAATGTAAAAATATATTTTGTAAGTAACGTATTGCATATGCAAAAATAGAGCTATTAATTTTCATTGTTGTTAGTCTAACGATCATAGAGATACGTAATTCATATCAGAAAATCCAGCCGTACTAAATCTTCAGGAACTGTTCATTGCTATTTTTACCAAATGTCCAGTAAGGGCTGTGCTCAGCCAGTGACCGGTGGTGCCTGGCGCCTTAATCTTGCTCTTGAGTATAAATTTTTTTTTTCCCTAAACATCATAATTATTATTCTAGGCACCCTGAATTTCACAATCTTCACAGGCTCAAAGCACCGGGCCCTTTTCAATTTTCATATCAGATAGATAGATAGTTTAATAACCAATAGCCATCACGGCTATCACAGGCATTTACATGATGTGGAAGGCGTAAAGAAAAGTGCGCGCCACTCCCCGCGATCTGAACGACTACTGGCACAGGCTGAGGGCACAGCTTTGCCAGTAATTTATAAAACTTTCCTACAAACAGCAGATTATCAATGATATGGTGTACTGTTGGTGCTACAATTAAGATGATACATCGGCATCTTTCAGTTCATCGACTATCTCCTGCATGGTTGGTCTCGCCCCAGGATCTCTCTGCAGGCATCGCCGTACCAGGCCACGAAACACACCGTTCGTTACAAGCACGACTTGTTCTTCACGCTTACTAGGATCTGGAAGTTCCCGAATGCACATTTCACAAAGAAGAACACCAAAGCTGTAGACATCAACCTAAAAGCAATCATAATACATGACTTTATGCCAGAATATTCTTTATATACATTCCATATTAGTTGTGTACTGATTACAAAAGGAGTTAAAGTAACACGAGAGGGAGAAACTCGAGAATTCAAAATAGATGAATATCGATAAATGGATAAGAAAAGCCTAGAAAACAGAAGATCCTTAAAAGCCTTCATGGTACGTCCTTGGCTTAAATGTTTTGTTTCTAAAAATACTAATTAACTTTTGCTATCCCGTGACTGTTGTCTTTAGGGACAAGAAGGGATAAATTAAAGAATCCAATTACGTGGACCAAATCCATGAAGAAGATATGCATAAAAGAGTGAAGAAAGTGCAGAACAAGGTACAAAGACTCCTGACAAAGATATAGTCATTTCATATGTATTGTTTATGGAGTGGACAAGTAGGAGATTTGGGGCGAAAATACAAGGGTCACTTATCACTTCTGCCACTGTTAGCATTGTTGTACAGTTTTAGTGAGTAAACAGTCTTAAATATTCACTTAAACTTACCTTGACTGTTTGGTTTGATGTAAGTGCTTCAGGTGCACTGTAAATCATAGCTCCAGGAGCCACTGTCATGGTCTGCTGTATGAAATTAGCAGTTCCATAATCTGACACTTTGGCCCTCCATTGGTCACCTTGTCGCCAAAGCAACACATTGGCACTACTGACATCCCGGTGAATGATGGGTTCTGGTTTCTTCTGGTGAAGATAGTTCAGTGCACGAGCTACATCCAGTGAAATAACGCGTATTTCCGTTTCAGAGAGTTGTCGCTGTTCCAATAGAGCCCGCAGACTTTTCTCCATCAGCTCAGTGACAAATAGAGGACTTCCCTCATCAATGGTGGCGCCGATAAACTGTAGTAAGTGAGGATGACGGCACTTGGACGCAATATTCATTTCTCTCTCAAAACGACGTATGTTATGAGGGGAGAGAATCAACTCGTGGATTTCTTTCACTGCTACAGTACAGCGACAATACGTTCCCTCATTGACACTTCCCCATCCTCCCCTCCCAAGGCATTTATCAGTGATTTGAATTTCGTCGCGCGGAATAACCCAGTCAAGTGTTTCAAGGCTGCGTAGTTGACTTATTGTTTGCTGAGCTGTTGAAAGACTTAGCTGTAGTTCAGAAACTTGTCCCCTGCAATTTGTCAACTGCTGACTTGTCTCCCTTAATTGCCTTTGTGAATTTTCTTCTCTTTGTCTTAACTCCCTCAACTGCCTCTGAGAGTTTTCTTCGCTTTGCTGCGACTCCGTTAGCTGCCTTTGAGAATTTTGTTCCCGTTCCCGAAGCTGTGTTAACTGCCTTTGTAAATTCCCTTCTCGCTGCCGCATCTCTCTTAACTGACTCTGGGAATTTTCTTCGCGTTGCTGCAACTCCGTTAGCTGCCTTTGTGAATTTTCCTCTCGCTGCCGCATCTCTCTTAACTGTCTCTGGGAACTTTCTTCGCGTTGCTGCAACTCCATTAGTTGTCTTTGAGTGTTCTGATCCCGTTCTCGAACCTCTCTTAGCTGCTGCTGCAAAGTTTGTTCACGTTGTTGCAACTCGGTTAGCTGTCTATGAGAATTTTGTTCCCGTTCCTGAAGTCGTCTTAACTGCCTTTGTAGATTCTCTTCGCATTGTTGCATCTCCGTGGATTGCCTCTGGGAGTCACGTGGCTGAAAATACCCCCTCATTCTATGGAAAACTGAGGTTCGCTTTTGTGCTCCACGTAGACCTTGCATTCTTGCTGAAGAAGTCATTCAAAGACGAAACAAGGCTATGAAAATCGCCTTAGTAACATGGGCGACTGATTATTTAAGTTTTACCTTAACAATTAATCACTACATAAATAATCATGACTAAATAGAAAATGCACGGTATTTCTTCCCTCGAAACTAAGTGCCGGACACCTGAGTGTAAACGTGAGATCGATGAACATGACATCCAGTATTCCTTTCACCCAATTGCCACTAAAATATTGCTTGCTAGTAAACTCACGCAAAATATTGGAGAGCGTGTCCAAAACTAGGTCCTTCTTTGACCGAGCTCTCTTTCTCTTCGCACAAATGTATTTTAATCAGATTTAGAATTAAAGAACAAGCCCGACAGATTATTGTATCGTAGAGATTAATGGACGAATCGAAACACCAGTCGACTCTATACTTCGACACGATCAAGTCCAAGAAAATTTAATTTCCGCTGACATTTTGCAAATAGTTACGCGAATAACAATTGAAATCGACTATTGCATTAATCTCATCACTGTGTACCAAATAACAAAGAAATAATGAGCCTTAGTTGGGAACTGGTTTACTTACACAGAATAAAACTTTCTTTCTTTGAATGCTCGATGTTGACATTTCTTCTTCTGTTATTTTAAGATATTTTGTGTTATGCGCGCTTTCCAAACGACAATATATTCGGCAGGTTCTCTTAAAATCATCTAAATTTGAACTTAAGCATAATAAAAGCCCCAACTGCGTTACCCCGGCGTAGTCGTTAAAGTGCCCACAACCCAATTTCTTTTATTATTTTTTTCACTGAAAGCAAACATTACCACGAGAACCTCTGCGTTTAGGAATTTTTTGAAACGTTCAAATTTGCCGCCATTTTCGCACACCATTCATCTTTGTCTTCTCTCGGGAGCCTCTAGGAAGCAAAGTAGCTGTGACGTAGACTAACGAACTACAGGTGCGGTTACACTAGCCGGTTTACACATGGACAAATGGCTGTTGCCCATGGGGAAGCAACTTTTTTGTGTGTGATCGATCGATTTCCCCAAGGTGAAGTGCCTCTGGAAAATTTCCATGGGTTTGTCAAAATAAGGTGATTCGATAGGGATTTTCAGGGGCAATACCTCCCAAGTCTGAGTGTTAACTATGTCGCCATTAACACTGAAAGATTCGGAAAAATGACAGCCAACGAAATCCAACGAAATGAATTCATTACCTGTATAATTTGCCGCCGTATTTCTGGGCACTGGAAGTTTATTTCTTTTTCCGCAACATCGTTCACGGGGCTTTTTCCTCCAGTAGCCGCCTCAATGTTCGTGAAGTTTGAGAGAAATCTATGAGAGCGTTATCGACATATTTTGAGATGAATTTTTTGTGGTTAGAAATTCAGTAAAAAACTGGACAATCTTGATGTTCAGCCGTTATCTTTAGAAAGGCAAAGCACTTATGAAATGCAATTCTACCTCATAGTAGTTTCTTTCTTTTAAAACGGAGACACTGATGGGAAGGCTGCCAAGCCATTTACTAGGTTCATATGTGACACACGTCCTACATACTTCTAGGATCAGCAATGATGAAAGAGTACTGTATAATGATAGAGAGACACTGATGGTGAGGCTACTAAGCCATTTACTAGGTTCATATTTGACACACGTCCTACATACTGCTAGGATCAGCAATGATGAAAGAGTACTGTATAATGATACAGAGACACTGATGGTAAGGCTACTAAGCCATTTACTAGGTTCATATTTGACACACGTCCTACATACTGCTAGGATCACCAGTAATGAAACAGTACTGTATGATACAGAGACACTGATGGTAAGGCTACTAAGTCATTTACTAGGTACATTTATAAAATAACTAAGATAGTACGCGCGCTCTGATTGGCCGAGAGGAGTGTTTGCATGAAAGTATGTAAACATGGTTGTGACGTCAAGATGTTTTGCTTTTCGCGCGCTAATCACGCAAGCACGAATTTGGAAAAGTTTTTGAGCTCAAAATTCGACAAGTTTACTTTATTTACCCATTTCTTCGTCGGCTGAAACTTGGAAAATCGTTATAAACAAGGCGTGTCAATTTGTTTCCCTTAAGTTGACATTTTAAGCCAGAAAATTCCGTACTTTGGAAAGCATCTTTTTGCACAACAAGGACTGATTATGCGTACAAAACTTCGTCTACAAAACTTTGCGACTGGTAAGAATTTCTCTTTTAATCAGTGCCATAACAAAGTGTTTTGCGTTTTTTTCTCGGGAAAGCTATTTTATAAAAGCAATAGAAAACGTTTTTCCTGTTTGCATAGCCTGACGGTATTCAAGCTCAGGATTCTACGGGCTGCTACGTAACTCACTTAAACACCAAAGACCACACTCATCGAAACTAGAACTGTCGCTTAAAGGGCAACTCTCCGGAAAATTACCCCTGTTTTTTAAGTTCTCTATGGTTTCCTAATGGCGTGTAATATCTCTCTTTGGTGAAATTTCCGATATATCTGCGAAACTTATTTTTTTATAATTTTTCGAAAACTCGATTTTTGCCGCCATTTTGAAAACATTTGGATTTCAGATTAGTCACGTGATTTTACGTCACACGTGTGGAACACGGATTGCCAAGTGAAGATTATAAGAGAAAAACGCACCAAATTTCTCTTGCAAATAAAGGAGAAATAGAGCCTCTACTGTCATATTAACGTTCAGGAAAAGCATTTCGATGATGGTTCCAATTTTTAAATTTACACGGGCATCAGATGAGGGTGATTTAGATTTTTTTCTGTATTTTTTTTGTTAGGGTATTTTTAAAGTCGCGAGAGACATTTATCGACCCGAGGTCAATAATTGTAAACAGCTAAGCTCCTAATCTACTACGTATAATACAAAGAACTTCTTTCCTATAGCAGATTTAAAATTCTGATACAACCATTAATGTTACCTGATGGGTGTTGATGCCCTTCATTCGTCGAAAACGACTTAATTTATTCCCGGGAAATACTCGCATCTTTGAAGAGAACTCCGTCACAGACCGCCGTACCGGCCTGATTCTATGCCGCCTTTTGTGTTTTCACTTAAGTGTGTTGTTCTTTTGTCTGAAATCTACAAGCTCGAAATAAAACCCACTTCTCGCCGAAAATTGCGATTTTATGATCATCATTTTGAACGTAGTTATTCGAGATGTGCTCTCGAGATTGTAGCGTCATTCCATTGCAAAACCTGCACACACGCTAAAATTACATGTAATGTGCCTTCTAAGGATAGAAAGAAATGAAAACAGTTCAAAAAAGTTGATTAAAATAGGATTGCTTCATTATCTTTAGTGATGTACCCGTCCTACCCGCGAACACTATAAAACTGCCTTGATAGCATGCGTGTCACGCTTCTATTGCAATACTTCCCTTTGGGACTTCTCACAAGAAAGGAAAAAAGAAATTATTAACCCGCTTTTAAATCCCCGACGCGGTACTTATGGAAAATTCCAAGGAGAAAAATGCGATCCATAACGGGAGTGAAAAAGAAGAAAGAACTAGGCAAGGTTCACTCCTGCAATAAGAATCTTTTTATTGAAGGTTATGGCTCAAGCACCATAACCGAAAGTCTTTGCTGGCTATTAAGAAAATTCAAGGGCTTTAGAAAACTACATGTTGAACCTGCGTCTGAATACCCCTGCACTACTTGCTGCATTCATAGAGAGGCCCAACAGAGATGAGGCAATGGGTTCCTTCGTTAGCAGATAAAATCTTTCCAGCCTAGTCAACTGAAGAAGGACTACAATGCCCTACAATGTCTTGATTCTTTGTAGTTTAGGCTAAGCAAGGTCACTACTGCAATTAGTGACTTAGATGACCATGCACTGTATGGTCCACTTAAACTGTGACCGGTTTTCTTTATTATTATTATTGCCTTATCAATTAAAATATGCAAGATGAAAACAATCCACTTGTGAATTCTAATTTAAAAATGAGGATTTCCCATTATAACCTAAAGATATACAGCAATGAACAATAAAATATCATTTTATTATTAAGATATAAAGTTTCAACTTGTACATTATTTCCCAGTTAACAATCACACCTGTTGGAAGAAAAAGGGTGACATGTTATTAGTCAAACACTAATCCGCCATTATTATTCAGAAGCTGTGAGCAAATAGTCAAGAAGAATTATGTATTTCCCACACACTGACACCACTGGACTTTAAAAGACCATTTTTTAGTTCCAACAATTATTGTTGACATTGTTTGCTGGGTAGCAGCCATTTTAATGACAACAAAGTTGCTCTAGCCCAGTCTACCAATGGTGAGTGAGAAAATTGCATCATATTTTATATACAGTAGGGTTATTTGCAATACATGGTATATTTATTCATCTGGACCCAGTTGTTCGAAGGCCGGTTAGCGCTTAACCAGGAGTTAAATTTAACCCTGGTTTCTTTTTCTTGTGTTCAAAAGCATTTTCTTGGATAATATTCCCTCTTATTTTTAGAGCTTCCAATCATCAACTTGTGGACAAAAAGAATTAAAACTGAATTGCTCTTTAAGCTTTCAAATCTTAATTCAAATCTCGCACTAACCCTGGGTTATCTTAATCCAGCTTTGAACAACTCGGCCCTGCACAATGGAATCCTGTGAACTCCATCTCATCCTCCAACCTTCCAGGCTCCTGGAAATGAGGTCGTATGAAATCCTATGTCCCTGCCAAGGAAGCCCCAGTATCACCTTACCAATTGCCTGTAGGCAATGTGCCTGCTTTTTTCTTCATATGCCAAGGCACCATACTGCTGCTTGTATTGCCATGCAGCTCGTAACACCCAGTAATTCAGACAAACTGCCTGGATCCTGGGTGTTCCACTATGCTCCTTCAGGAAGCTTCTCCATATTTTCAACTTCAACTGCCTCCAAATATTTACGTTTTACAACAGCCACCTCTTGGAAGCAGATATTTTCCCCCCATCCAATAGTAGTTATTTTCTTTAGTCATAAATACTGAACGTCGGTTAATGGAGGGCAACAGAACA